TGATGACAGGTAGAGAGCAAAAATATACGAATCTGACAGCAATACCTTAGCATCAGCTGAAACAGATTCCTACTGCAAAATAATGGTTAAAAGAAAGACGAAAGTGTTAAGGCATACATGAATGTATCAAAAAGACGATTATAGTTTCCTGTCAGACGTGAACACGTCATAATTAGAACATGAGAAGTCTGACCCATAATAAAAGCATCAATGTGGATGTGCAATAGTTTGGCTTCTTAATTAATGCGAAAGAATGAGGATCGAAAGTCTTTAGATCACAAAGAAATATGTGAGAGAAACGAAAAAGAAAGAGCTCATCTCATTCTGTAACTCCTGAGACGAACGAAGGAGCGAAGATCTTTTGCACACACTTAAATGCGTGAGAGTGAAGGCAAAAGCCTTGAGATCACAGAAGATGTGCTAGAGTGAGGGTCAAATCAGCAATAGAACTTCAGAGTGCCAGACAAATTTGTAAAGAGCCTTCATATTGCAAAGTAATCCAATAGACCAACAGGAAAAAGTGTCGCTAGAGTACCGATTAGTGAGAATGAAAGCAAAAGCCATTAAGCAATACAGAAACTTCTAAAACTATGGACGATAAACATCACGTCACGAATCGCTGCTTAAATGGTAACAGGAAAAACTTAATATCATACACCAAATGGCAACAGCCATCAGGAAGCACTACAGATAATCTCACGAAGCTAGTAACTGATAAGAACAACAGTCAGACAGCAGAACCATCTGTCAGAGTAAGCGCCAAATGCCTTACCATATAAATTTCGCAATAGCTAATTAGAAAACCTTCGGAGCACTTACCAGTGTTCGGCTACATGAAAAAAGATATCAAGTCACATGAGAATACCTTAGACAAAAGCCTAATCACATAATATTTCATATTGCACTATTGAGAAAGCTGCGGTTCATTGGGCGACGTGTATCAACCATGGTGACAACTACAACTACAGATGGCGATTATTTAGACTTACGACAGATGTATTATCCAAAACAATACATCACAAAGACGAAGCGCAAAGCTTCTCAGAACTGAGCAGTGTCTGGATGTGATCGTAAAACCTGTGAAACAACTCGCAGATTAGTAGGAGTAAGCAAAATAGGTTTTTGTCACCGAATTCTTGAAAGAGACTTTCGTATCCAGCGTCTGAGTACTGCACAAATGTTGCGATTGGGATACAATTAACATTAGAGCGTAGATATAGATGAAGTGAGTGTGAGAGTCTTTCCTTCATCCACACACTTAGAGCAACGAAGTTTCGAATAAAAGAGTTTAGGATTATGAACTATTAAGAACTGTTGTAAGGAGCTGATCATCGGCTCCAGGTACACCGTCGCAGGACAGTCTTGAGTTAATACTCATACTTACGCACAACGTGCGGCTCTTTCCGTTTTCGCTCAGTGAAAACGTTTTGCAAGCATTCACTCATTTCCTCAATGTTCTTGCAGGACGCGTTAAACGATCAGATAGAATAGCATGCAGTGAGTACAAATTTAGACGACGTCGCATAGGAATGTGCTATGCGCTATAGTGTAGAATGGCGCAGCACATGTCCCACGAAGCTCTAGTTCCAACTCTCTCGAAGTACTAACGTGACAACTGTAACCGAACAGAATATCGAAAGATGAACATGAGATTTTAACATTACGCATGAAGTTCAATGCATATACCTTGCTAGTACAAAGAAATTTTTCAGGATAATAGAGTCTTTCGTCCAAGTGCATGAATGAACTGTGATCGTGAGTGAATGGCCAATCAATTTCTGGGTTCGTCGATCCCTCAGAGTTTCATCTTACCCTCAAAGGAAGAGAATCGAAGATTGGAGAAAATGCAAATATTCTCAATTCTACGATATGAGTAACCTAAAAGAAAAGTTCATTAGACAAGAATTGTATTTTGGTTCAATTATAGATCTTACAATTGCGACAGACTATGCTGCTTTGCTTCGTGATTGATTCTGCTACTCCTCAACTATTATTGGAGGCTGAAACTTGTCGCATAAATTCCCTATCATCTTGTTTACCAATTGTGATGGCCTAAAGTGCAAAAAACTGTCTTTGTAAAATAACTGAACCATCAAGCTGTCCAGAACACACCGGCAAGTAGTGTGTTCAGATTTCGTCGTTATGGACCGTTAATAAGTTGCTCAAAGATATTAACGGTTGTTAACCTCAAATCACACCTCCATTAATGTGCTGACTACGATTTGACGTATACCAACTCTCGGGGCTTGTATATTGTTCGTTAGTGTGTACAGGGAAGCTCAAGCGATTGAACGAAAGAACTCTGATGCATGCTAGCCTCCTGTTCTAACCTACAGCTAGTACTAGTTGTCGTTATTATATCAAAATAATAAAACTGCCTCTAAGCAGTATCCTGTACCGCTGGATAGCTGCTAGGTCGGCTATTCTTTTGTCTTTCCACAAATATCTCGACGATGAAATTTTCACACTGATTACATGGCCTCTCGAAAATATATTTCTATTACCTTTTGCTGATACTCATAGAACCCAGAAATATTGGAGTAAAAAGTTTTCTTTTAGCTTCACATTACTCTAGAAGTTGAGATTCAGCAAAACTAGTCGCACCTAACGAAGTTTAGGTTGAAACACTTGATAGAGTATCTGGATAAATTGCCTCATAGTTGAACCTCATCTCGATATCAATCATGACTGATGCAGAAACCTCACCGTGCTATACATGAAGCGCTTGTTTGAAGAGCCGGTTGAAGCGCATGTCGTCCTGTCAATGTCTGGTTTCGTATTTTGATGTATTACATGATAGCAGATGCATTCTTTTCAGATTGAGCTTGCTTTTTATTAATGACGACTAAAAAGGAACCACGACGTAAGTTGGCACTTGTAATTGGGATTGGTAAATATGACCATTGTGAAGAATTACAAAATCCCGAAAATGACGCGAATGATATGTCTGATGCTCTGGAAAGTATTGGTTTTCTTGTTACAAAGAAACTAGATCTAAAACGTGCTGAAATGAAACATGTTGTTATTGATTTCGAAGAATTAATAGAGCCCGACGATATGGTTCTATTTTATTTTGCTGGACATGGAATACAATGGGAAGTATGTATTAAAGTTTCATCCTTAAAAGTGATCCCAATTTTCTATGAATGTTTTATTTGTGGTACTTTTAGGATCGAAATTATCTGATACCAAAAGACACGCCAACTTTGAATGGTGCAGCTTTAAACAAGAATGCAATCAATGCACAACATATTCTTAACACTTTAAGTGATCGTAAACCATATGTAACAATATTTCTATTGGATTGTTGTAGAAAGTATCATTTACGTAATCCTGAGGTAGACGCACGTGATCCAGATGCAAGTGGTTCAAAATCAGTAGGCCTCAAAGCTATGAGCAAGGCTGATTCATTGATTGCATTTGCTTGCGCACCTGGAACTATAGCCATTGAAGAAAAAGGACAGAAAAATGGTTTATTCACCAAGCATCTTTTAAAACATATTAGAACTGCGAATGAAGACATCCAAATGATATTACGTGATGTTACCGATGGAGTGATGGAAGAGTCAAAATCAAAACAAATTCCATTTGTGAGTGCTTCATTATCAAAGAAGAATATATGTTTATGTAGTCAACAAATAAATCAACCACGTAGACCAGGTAAATATACTAGTAAATTCTACTGCTCTTGTTTAAGTGAATCAATAGATTGTCTTAACAATTTTACCTTCGAATCATCTTTGTTTCTAAACATTTAGAAAATAGCCAATGAGACATTTATGGCTTTTGAATTATTTCTCGGTGTAACCTGAGTTAAATGTTATAGATAACATCACCGAAATAAACAGAGAACTTGGGTTCTTCCCTAGTCTCAATCTTTATAATGCTTGCAATTTTCATAGTCTGGCGTGGTTATTTCTTAATTACGAAGGAAACTCTTCAAACGTTTCACCACTTTGAAACTCATCTGTTGGACATATATAGAGGTTCACTGGCATAGTCTAACTATAAAAGGACATGTGCGCATAGTTCTCTGAACGAATCATATCGTATTTTTAAATCACATTTGTTCGAACTGGAATTTTTATCAGATGAAACAGATATTAGAATTCAACTACAGTAGATGTTTGAGCATTATCGTTAATTGATTCGCGAAGATGTTGAATTTAGAACAACCAGTCGGAAATCTGATGCACCCCTAAGAATACTACCATCTAATAAAGACGACATTCTTATTCAAGATCACCTCACCTATTGACATTGAAAGATCCTTGTATATATTTTTGTACTGTAGAACAGCCACAAGACTTATTACAAATA